AAGTAAAGTAAGTAAGTAAGTAAGTAAGTAAAGTAAGTAAGTAAGTAAGTAAGTAAGTAAATAAGTAGGTACTTAAGTAAGTAATTAGGTGGTTAAGTAAGTAAGGGAATAACGATAACACAGAGAACGACACCGTCATACAGGGCAAAGAACGGAAGGAGATACTGAATCCTAGTCATCCCAAATAAGTCGAGTTCGTGCTAATTCGGTTCAACATCTAATCTTTGTGTTACAATTAACACCGTGCTGAAGAGGGAATGTTCCGACACACAGCTGCGAGAAACACGTAATTTTGTACTTATTGTATTGCTATTTTAAGTGTCACTGCGCTTATCGCCAAACACTGCGTTCTTCTATCAACCTCTTCCGTTAACACACACACACACAGAGAGAGAGAGAGAGAGAGAGAGAACAACATATGCCATGTCAAATACCCGGAGGGATAATCTAGGTGGTGGATGGATTCAGCTGTTCTGTCAAAATGACTTCAGAATAAAACAAACCGTTATGTTCGATGTCCAGAACATTTTTGGGCAATTTTATGACGTAGGATGTATCCTGTTTAAGTCCCGTTCTAGAGCAGATTTCCATTGAACCGAATTTCGCAGTTTTCACCGAATGAAGGAGGTTAAAACACCATCACCTGTTCAGACGTGGCGACTGGTGCATCCAGCGTGCAATGGTGGTGGTCTCGCTTGTCACATGCCCTGAGTTCAAAAACCTGCAGAGCACTGCTGATGAGCTCTAATAAGAGCCACACTCGAGTCCAGTGCTTCCCCTCTTTGGTGTGAACTCACCAGACCACCTGCGCCAGGTGTGAATGGGATCTGCTACGTAATGGCTGGACTTGACTTAGTGGGCCGACCTTGAAACATCAGTTGCATTAGGACGCGGATAGCTTGAAGTTACGTTCACGTCAACAAAAAACTTTATTTGGCAACTAGGACGCTATTGATCAATGAGTTTAGTAGGGGAGTTAACAAGAACTTACTGTCGAAGGGAATGTTGTTAGCTTGGGTTGTGTAGATGGTCGTTGTTGTGTTAGCTAAGCTGGGCTATTTTTTCACAACCACTTTGTTACAGACCGAGGTGACATCAATAGGGCGTAGTGATTTGGTGGTGTTTCGTGGTGCGTCGGTGTGTAGGTGTTGAACAGTGCTGTGTTTGTGTTTACGTATATCGTGATGACGCAGTAGGTTGGCTCCGATTGTGATTGTTCGTCAGTCCCGTTTGTTGAACAGTTGGCTAGCTAGCGGAGTCCAGGTGACCTTTGAGTTTCACCCCTCCGACTCATTCCACCTGACATGTGACCTGCCGATCACACGGTTACCATTCTAGACATGTGATCCGTCCATTCGCTTCGAGTTGTCTGATTAAGTTGATGACCATTTGCGCTAAGCGGTATGTAATTTGGGTCGATTTCCATACAACTGTTGATTGAGATCGTATACCTTGCTCTCACGCGTGAAGTTTGTTTATGCTTGCCAAGACCTACATGTTTTATAGACTGAATTTGTACCCTTCTTGATCTTCGTGCATCGAAACCGGGATATTTGAATTGTAACAGCGTGTCTTTTCGTTTTCGCCCTGTTTGTCCAACATAGTATTTACGGAGGTTAGATCGATAAACAACGTTGTATCTGGTATTCTTGTCTGTCGCCCCCCTCACTTCCTGCACGGTGAAGCAATACGGTTCACCGTCAACTCATCAATCGCTGATAATATCATTCCGGTTGATGGTGCGACCAAACTGACCAGGTCAGAGAACCAGACAATGGTCCTGAGAAGAATTATTTCAAAATCTCAAGACAGAATACCCTTCAAAAAGTGAAGATAGAACTTAATGTACTACTCATAAGGTTGCTGAATATTCTTTGACCACCCACGACCGGTTTCGCCCTTCTTGGGGCTCATCAGGTGGACGCAGTCCCCTGGTTTCCGTCAACTTTATGTTCCACTTGAAACCAAATTGCACGAAATTAGCGAACTGCATTCATTTGGAAACTAATTTGGTTTTGCGAGAGGCTCACCTGGAACCCAGCTGGATCTCTCGTTCGTGATGGTTCCAGGTGTATCTGAAGATAGAACTGTCCCCTTGTGCGCTTGAACTCGGCTGCCCAGTTCTACAACCGCTTAGTTTCTCGCCTGGTTCCACGTAGTTACACATTAACACATAGCGGAAAGCTACGAGAGCGATTCACTTACATAAATGACTTCCGCCCACATATCTACATTCCACACTCGTACTTGGCACAAAAAGAAATTCCAGTCTGGATGGTCTTCATTTGCTTTCTTTTTGTACATCATAAGTAATTGTGGCATGTTTATGTGCTGAATGTTGCCTGAATCGGTATTTTGTAAACAGCGTTGTTGGTGTGTAACAAAATGAACGTTTGTAGTTATCGAGTGTTCTTTAGGAAACAGGTACGGATTCTCACGGTCTATCCAGAGATGAAGGACGTTTTTGTGCCATTTCAGGAAAAAACTGAAAGGGCATTACGTTCATACAATGTATCCAGATATCTCGAATATCGTACCAATTGAAACATGAGGCAGAACATCATAAACGAGAGTTTCAGCTGGGTTCCAGGTGAATTTCTCGAAAAACCGAATGTGTTTGCGAATCAGTGTGTTTCGCTAATTTCGTGCAATTGGGTTCAAAGTAGAACATAAGGTTGACGGACATTCGGGGACTGCGCCCACCTGATGAGCCCCCAAAAGGGTTAAACTCGTCGTGGGCTGTCGCAGATTATGAGTAGTGCATTACGCCTAAAATGATCATCCATAACCAGACTAATTGGTCCAGAATGATTTGAGGATTGTTCAGACGAGACTGATAGGCGAACAGCCTTCACCACAAGTCCCCCATTTAAGTTGGGAAGATGATTCACGTCAAATGAGTTGCAACAATTCTCCGATACTCAAGAGGTGCCAAGATCAAGCCCTTCTTCAGTAAGGTTGTGACAGCCATACACATAACATCAGGGTTTGGCGACAGGTTTATTCAGAGAGTTACGAAGGGCTTGACTCGATCAATCGCTTATCGATAGGTGAATTCTGGCAAGGAAGGAATTGGATGACACTTTCCATCGTAAAACAGCGGGTGGTAACAGTGATAAAATTTGTTTTAAAGCTGCCAACCATCAAAACTGTGACGGTAAAATGCTTAGATATCACAACGACCCCTAATCTTCCCTGGTGTGAGCATTTTAGATTTGTCCTTGATAAACTGTGTCGCCCCGCTTTTTACCTCGTGATTTCTATACATCTTTGTATTCTCGGTGACCTCCGTAAAACTTTATCATTGCATTGCATTGGTTGTAGCACTCCACTGTCAGGTGCCCAGTATCTGAAGATAAAGAGCCCATCTTGCTATCGTACCCTACTAAACAAATTTCTAAACCAACCGAGTATACCCATCGAGTATATCCATCCAGCTACTTCCTCGTTAAACAACGCCTTGTAGCTTGTGGTAATTTTTCGCTTAAAACGTAAGTTCACCTCGTGAACTATGTGCATTCGCACACTAGGTTGGTTTTACCGTGAGATGCTACTGAATTCCGTCTGAACCTCTAGTTTATTGTAGCCCTTCATGGGTTATCGATGGCTCAGTGGTTAGAGCGCGAATTTACTGACCGGAAGATTCGTCGCTCGACTCTTGAATTCTCTTGTCTAGGCTTTGGTAACCCAGCTGTACCCCAGCACCCGTGCTTCCGCGGGGTGGCATGGCAACTAGGCACGGAAAGGGTATTATAGCTGAACGATTGCTGAAGAGTATTCAGAAAATGTACTGCTAGGTAAGGTCACTTGAGATGGCCATTATGCAGCACACTCAGTTGAAAGATGTAAACAACGGATTGAGTTGAGCCTCTCGTTTAAATAACATCAGTGCGGGGTAGTTCGCGAAGTGCGTCCAATCTGGGTCAAACTAGGACTGACGGAAACTGAGGAGCCATGCCTACTTGCTGAGCCTCAAGAAGGACGACACAGGTCGTGGGCTGCCGAATTGTTCTCAGAAAACTTACGGGTGGGGTTCCTTAAGTTTTGTTCTTTCGAAAGCCATTCCCTCCTCGAATATAGGACCAAGATATAAGGCCATGTGTGCAACAACGATCAGGTCCCATAACTGGCTTGTTCTCCCCTTAACCGTGAGTTAATCCACTCTGGTCTTCAAGCACGTCTTCAGCTAACATTCGCACCCCTGCCCTGCTAAAGTTGTGAGCCTTGAAAGTTCACCCACGTTAGTGAATGGATCTACTGTTGGCCTGAATTGACCTGTGTTTGAAGCACTTTAATCTCACTTGACTTTACTTCCTCCAAATCGGGACGTCTAACCTCTAAAAATATTGTCGCTTGGCAGCAAACATGTGAACAACGGGCTAGAAATAGAGCGGAAGGTTGCCGTCGGTTGCAAGTCTAATCTGACTACACGGAGAGAAGTAATACACCCGTTCACATATTAACCCAAAATCCAAGAAAAACCGGGTTCTGTTGGCAAGGTGTACCACCATATGCTCCTGCAATGCAGTCGCTTGGATGGCAGATGTCCGTTCACGACCCCAACGGCCACGTTTGAGGCAGCAAGAAAGCGCTGAGAAGGTCAACGGGGCGGTGGAGCGAAGATTTCAGTAAGATCTAATTGGAACCCGGTTCTGAGGGACTGACCTAAATCCCAGTTGGTTGCGTTTGTTTGGATACGGCAAAAATGGTATTCGCTCAAATGTCTTCTCGTAATCGACCTTGATTTGTTTTATAAGTGGTGTGAAAGATTTGCCGTGTATATAGGCTCAGTCTAGCGAAATGCACTTATTTGCGTACATCATGAGGGACCCCACTGAATCCCAGCTGAATCTCTCGTTTACGAGGTTCTTCAACAGGATGTGCTGCACAAAGGCCGTCTCATGTTTTAGTTGGTGCGATATTCGAGATATCGCATTACATTACAAAGTTGCTTCGCTCTTCTCGGGGTTCTGTTCCAGAGTTTCCGTCAACTTTACGTTCTAGTTGAACCCAAATTGATGGCCTTTGTACAGCATATTCTGTTGTAGAATATCATACTCGAGCGATTCAGTTGAGTCTCCCGTGAAAACCAAATTGCTAGGCAAATGAGTGTATTTATCTGAATCAGTCCAATTTGGGTTCATGTAGAAGTCGGGGACTGCGCCTACCTGATGAGCCCCAATAAGGGCGAAGGTTTGTTGAGTAATTGAAGAACAAACTCTTTGTCTAAGAGTCTTCAGCAACCTTGTAGGTAGTTTCCTTTGTGAAAATGATTTCTGATTGTGAAAAAAAAATCAAAAGTGTGACTGTATTCTATCATTATTGATATAGATCATTTAATAAAGGACAGCTGTACACAATGCGTGTAGAACACTAGAGCTGTACGCTATCGAGGACATCAGCTATGTCTGAAAGATGTGCCTCAAGATACGCCAAATAAACAGAATCAATCACCGAGCAGACAACCAGACTAGTGGTTTTAAGGTCAGTCTTGATTATGTGCCAGCCACTGGCTAGTCAGCATATCGTGTGTCAAAATAACGAGCGAGTTTACTTGAAGGCCGGCTGAATCCGGATGTACATGCCTTCTGTTTTACGCCATGCGACGAAATCACACGATCACTCAAGGTTTTCACCAGTACCAAGCTTCTAATTCACGGAAAGATTTTCGTTCATCGTTGACATCCTATCGAAAAAACCAAAATCTGGATTTGCAAGAACAATAGCCATTTGATTGTTAAGATATCAAAAGAAAAAATTATAAGGATACCCCATGATGTCCTTTCCTAAAAGAAGTGCTCGTTGCTTTTCCCCAGAATTTTCACCGGAAGACCTTTCATCAGTCAACTGATGACTTTCCACTAGTCTCAGTTCAGTTTACACTCCGAATCAGTTTGGAGACCATTGATTTCTGCTTTATTGTGCACTGTTTCTGTTTGCGAGACCTCAGTCGGCTGTAGATTAGAACACTACAGGTTGGTCTGTTCTGTAGCTTTCCCCAGACCAGACCTGAACTAACTGAGGGCATGAAACAGTGCTTTGTCTTGTTCCCTGTCTTGACCACCATATCAAGCGTTTGATTCTTTGAACCTATGCATTGAGATCCCCATTCGCAAGCTAAGATTACACTTTAAACCAGAAGCATCGAACTGAAATCGTTTGCTTTCGTGCACCTGAACAATAAGGATAATTTACATCCATTGCTAATTCCAAGATTAGTATATATGCAAAGCAGAATTCTCGCCATTGAATGTTTTTTTTTTGAAATCATATTAGGAACAGATGAAAGCTATGCTCGTGTCGAGCGTCATACGGTGGTCGCGCGACAAGGCATGCGAGAACACAACCCCATGTTTATAAGTGGTAGTAGGCAGAAACCAGACTCAAATGCAGTTGCATCACATTTGGTCGAAACCAATCATGTCTTCGACAAACAGTAAACCTTCGCTATCATACACCGAGTGCCTCTGAACCGATTGTGGTTGGTACGATTCAGACTACTATCGATTGTAGAGGTGACTGTGATCCGACTGCTGGACTCATAAGTCCAACCTGATTCCTTGACCCATTGACCTACCCCTCATCCAACCCCCTTCCTTTGATTCACGTGATTTTTGGTACCATATAAATTTAGAATGCATCAGCCAAGAGGAACAATAACATAAAAGTGAAGGTTCTCTTGAATCCACTGTGTCCATTTTTGAATCAACAGCCCTATCAGGTTAGGAATCAAGCAGGTTAGCAATACTGAATGGCCAGTGCGCAAATCCAAGCACTTAAATGTTTAATATCACCATTGGTAGCCATTAAAACAGGGTAACAACGAGTTCCATGCCACTCACACATAACTCAAAAACGGTTTCATTTTCGTCTCGCAAGGTTTTCAGATCAGCCAACCGGTGGTGTGGGTCTCTATCTTAATGGGATCTCGTACCAACACATGGAGTACATACATGTGTGGGCGTATGTGACGCCAAAACTGATTTGGCTCGAAGGAATATCAATAAACGTACGGCGAATTTTGTAAAAGAAACTCATTCACACATTGATTTGGATTTGAAAAGGAACTCAACTGGATTTTAGTCGAACATCGCTTTCATAATTTCTCTAATGCGATATTTTGAATATCGTACTTACTAGAAAATGAGGCGGTCTTATGTAGAACATTCAGTTGGAGACAGACATCATAAACGAGAGATCCAGCTGGATTCACCTTAGCCTGTTGGATAAAGGAATTTCACGAGATCTATGCAGTTCAGATTCAAAACGAATACAAGATTGACGGAAGCTCGAAGACTGAGCCTACCAGAGAGGCCCCAAGAAAGGCAAAAGAGGTCGTGGGCTGACAAGGCCTTTTCAGCAACCCTGTGAGTAGTGTTTATTCATTGTAGTCATTTAGCGAATATATACTCATTTGCAAACTAATTCGGTTTTCGAGAGACTCACCTGGAACCCACCTGAATCTCTCGTTTGTGATGTTCTCAGGCAACTGAATGTGCTGCAGCACGCCGCCTCATGTTTCAGTCGCTACGATATTCGAGATATCGCGACACATGTATATCTTTTTAATGTACTACTCATAAGGTTGCTGAAAATCCGTCGACAG